ATAAAAGGACAAGTCCTTTTATGGATCAAAAACTGGCTAATTAATAGAAAACAGAGAGTGAGTATAAATGGGCAGTTCTCCCAGTGGAGGGGGGTAAGCAGTGGGGTACCACAGGGATCAGTACTTGGTCCACTGCTTTTTAACTTGTTCATTAATGATTTGGAGTTGGGAGTAAGCAGTGAAGTGGCTAAATTTGCGGATGATACGAAGTTGTTCAGGGTGGTGAAAACCAGTGAGGATTGTGAGGCACTCCAAAGGGATCTGTCAAAGTTGGGCGAGTGGGCGTCAACATGGCAAATGGGGTTCAATGTGGCCAAGTGCAAGGTGATGCACATTGGAGCCAAAAATCCTAACTATAAATACACGTTGATGGGGTCTGAACTGGCAGAGACAGATCAAGAGAGAGATCTTGGAGTTGTAGTAGATAACTCACTGAAAATGTCGAGACAGTGTGTGACTGCAATAAAGAAGGCCAATGCTATGCTGGGGATTATTAGGAAGGGTATTGTAAACAGATCAGCCAATATCATAATGCCGCTATATAAATCAATGGTGCGACCTCATCTGGAATACTGTGTGCAATTCTGGTCACCACACCTTAAAAAGGATATTATAGCTTTGGAAAAAGTGCAGAAAAGGGCAACTCGAATGATAAAAGGGTTGGAACACTTTCCCTATGAGGAACGGTTAAGGCGCTTAGGGCTCTTTAGCTTGGAGAAACGACGACTGAGGGGTGACATGATTGAGGTTTATAAGATTATGCATGGGAAAGAGCAGGTAGAGAAAGAGGTACTTTTCTCCCTTTCTCACAATACAAGAACCCGTGGGCACTCCATGAAATTGCTGAGCGGTCGGGTTAGAACGGATAAAAGGAAGTACTTCTTCACCCAAAGAGTGATTAACACTTGGAATTCACTGCCACAGGAAGTGGTGGCAGCTACAAGCATGGACGGCTTCAAAAGGGAATTAGATAAGCATATGGAGCAGAGGTCCATCACACTGTGGGATACAGAGGGTTGGACTGGATGGGCCTTTGGCCTGGTCCAACATTGGCATCTCTTATGTTCTTATGTTCTTAATACTCTGCCGCTTCCATAAATGTACCTACATAAAGTTTCCACATCCTTAGTGCTGTATTTATACCATAATTTGTACTTCTGTCATTTGAAAATGCTACTACACAATTCGTGGGCTGTGGTGCACGAAGGGTTAAAGAGCCTGGGGTCCAGGGTCAGGCCATCTGAGAGAGCCAGATGTATATTGTCATTCTTTAAGGACTTTCTGGTCATTCCATTGCCCACCAGCAGCCCACAGAGAGAAATCTTTTTTTTTTTTTTAAATAGTCTTCAAGCTGTGAATGGAAACATGGAAGCAACCTTCACAAAGGAGAGCAAGTTGTTGGATCAGACTGCCTCACCAATGGTCCTTATGTTCACTACAAGAAAATCTGTGCACTGAGAGGCTTGTTCAGCAACCTGAAATCAAGGATGACTCTCTTTCTTCCCTGGCACTGCGATGACAATTTAAAGACAACAGAAAAGGGCTCCCGGGATGACACAACCTCTCTACCAGGTTCATGGTGATAAAGGTGCAAAGGTATTGTTCCCAGGCTTTTGACCTATGGCATGGCAGAAGCCTTCTCACAGGAAGTGAAGCGGGTCAAATTCTCTCCTTTGCCCCAGTTCCCCAGCTGCTATGGGGGACAGCAGCCAAGCCATATTATCCAGTACCTGCAAACCTCTCCTCACCGGCTTGACATCAAGGACACAGGGGTCTGCCTGGCACCAGACGCCTGAAGGACACTGTTTTTCTGCGGGGAGCTCTCTGTGTGGACTGCAAAGGTCTCCTATAATGGCTGAGGCTAGAAAATGATCTTAGAGAATGGAAGGAACAAGCGTGCCCACAGTGCAGAGTATGGCCTCTTTATTCTTAAAGGAGAGACTGGGGGGACGGGGGGGGGGATGGACTGAAAAACTGCAGTTACATGCTGCCTCCACTGCTCAGTTCTTCAACCAATGGTTCAGCCTGGCTATGATTATATAAGCCATGACTCCACCTAAGACAGCAGCCAACACAGCTAATGTATCAATGCTTTTCTCAAGTGTTCACTATTTCAGGTACTTCCTTCTAGAGGTTTGCAAGCCACTTGCTCACAAGGGCAATGATGGTCTTCTGAGTTTTGTATAAGGAAAATACATTGTCTCTTGAATGATGTCACTAAAGGACGTCACTACTTTACTGCCCTCAGCGCTCTGGCTGAGCCAGATGGGCTATCCAGCACTCATCAGCAACAAAGGAAATTTAAGAGCGATCATACCCGGGGGTCGGTGCTACCATTAGGCCAACTAGGCGGCTACCTAGGGCACAGACCTCAGAGGGGCCCAGAACTGCCAATCAGCATTAGGGTGTGAAATCTCTCATACATCTATCAGGTGTAAATTTTCTAGTAAAAAAGGAGGACGTTGAGGTAAACGGTGTGAATCCTCCTGTCATAAATCTTCCAAAGGTAAATTATTTATGCAATTGGCTAGAACAGAATTAGCAGTTAGCAGGAGAGTGCGGAGTGACGTCGGGAAGTGCTAAAAGGAATGACAGGATTGCCCGTTGGAAATAATTGGAGAAGCTTGAGGGCCCATTGGAAATAATGGCAGCCAGAAATGCCACATGACTTGCATGGGCTCCATTGAAATACATTACAGCACAAGAAAAGTTGCAAAGAAAATGTGGAATGGACTTTCTATTAAGTTATCTGGGCCCAAACAGACTACTCTGGGACTGGAATGACAGCCCCGGGGGTAGCAGATGTGTTGTGGGACTGGAATGACAGGCCTCACAGTGGAATGAAAGCCCCTGGAGGTAGCAAATGCATTCTGGACCCGAATGAAAGCCCCCAGAGTGGAAATGACAGCCCCTGGGGTAGCAGAAGTGTTCTGGGACTTCCGAAGTCTATGCCACCACAAGGAATACGGTACTTTTCATACTGCAAAAAACCCTCCTGGATAGTGTGCCTAATGTTTCTGTTGCTCTATGGATCCTTCTCACACTTCCAGTGTCAGTGGCAAGTGGTGAATGCAGTTTCTCAAAGTTCAAACTTATAAAAACATACATATGCTCAACAATGCTGCAAAAGAGACTACTTGGTTTGGCAAGTATATCACTGAACATACGGAAGCATCAGTGCCTGACCTAAGGGAACTGGTGACAAAATTTGAAAAGGAAAAGGCAACACAAAATGAGATTTTGATGTGCCCGAAATGAAAACATTCAGGAGACTTAAATTTCAACATCACAATTCACAAGAGTATTCAAAATGATTTGTGATTTAGGTGCTAAAACTGTTTTCTGTTTGAGAAAGAAAATCAAAGATTGCTGTATTACTTATTCTCGCAATTTTAATTTTTTTTTAGCAATTTCAAGTTTTGTGCTTTTCATTTTTCCTACAATTCATCTGTTTAGTGGAGGGGGGGAGTAGTTAGCCTTGTCTGGCCCTGGCCCTGCCTCCTCTCTGTCCTCCAGAGACTGACCAAGGTGTGGACAGAACTGCCCTTCACGTCACCTAGAAACACTTAATGAGTCTCTGGGGGAAGGTCAGACAAGCAAGTCCCCCATTCTGTCCAGAGCCACTGATAGTTTGAGCCCTCATCATGTCCCTAAAGTCCATTTGGAGGACATCCTCTCCCTGGGATCTCCCTGTCCTCCGAAAAAGAAGGAAAGTCTCTGCTAAACCAACAGCAGAGAATATATTTAAAAGTGTTCCACCTAAGGGAATACCCTCCAGAATCAGAATTTAACTCTAAATATGAGCAATCTCATACACCTTTAAAGAAGCCAACGGGCTGACCCGCTACCTTATATAATAGACTCATAATAAAAGTCATGTTATTCAAATGGTTTAATTTTATTCAAGTAACCCGAGTCTTTATTTTATTTATTTAATTAGATTTTTATACCCCAGATCTGGTTCTGCTACTCAAAGGATGCAACAGCTGCTGCAGCAGCCTGAGGCCCCATGAAGGCTCCTGACTTGAGCCCCCTGCACTGTGGGAAGGGGCCGGACTGTGGCTGCGCCTATGCTCCCTGGGTGATATCAGAATGGCCCCTGTTTTTTAATAGTCCTCATTCTTGCTACACAATCCTGTTTTGCTAGCATGACCTTGTGTTTAAGCCAAGGTTCTGAACTCGCATTTAGGACAGCAACTGGCACACTTAACAAACAAGAACACCACAGTGAAAGAAGCCAGTGGGAATCGGCCTGTGAAAGGGATGGATGGAGAGGACTGGGAGGGTCCCTGATCAGGCAACCTGCTGCCCCTCTAAGCCACAGTCGGGGTGATGCCCACATTGAGTCTGAGGAACTCTGTAGACCTGGGAAAGCAATGCTGCTCACTGGGCCACATTTGCAGACAGGGAGCTGGGAGTCCATCCACGCAGGGAGGACAGGAGTAGCTCACTCACACTGCAGGGGGCCAGATTAGATTTCTGGCTGGGAAAATGAACTATGGTGACACGAGGCTTTGAAGGGAATGAAGAAATGAAGAGCCAAAGAGGGCACAGCACTAATGTCAGTTATGTCGTCCATAGCAACTAAATATGCTATTCCAAACGCTCGGCGTGGCTTGCCACAACGGTTCCCCAGCCTTTAAGAGCCTGTGGGCACATTTGGAATGCTGACATAGCTGGCTGGATGCAGGCACAAAATGGCTACCAGAAATGGTTGCGGCAGGAGGCGGAGCCAGCTACAAAATGGCCGCTGCAGCTGACCGTCAGCTGCAGGGCGAAGGTCCTTGTGTGCGGAGGTGGCAGCTGCCGCCGAAGAACGTTCCTAGAAATCTGTGCAGCCCATCAAATCTACCACAGCCGATCAGACGCCTTGCTGGGCAAAGTCCCCACCCACTTTCTAAAGGCACTGGGTGGGCAACGGGAAAGTGTGGGTGGGCACCTCATTGGGGGCCCCTGGGCTAAGCCAAGTACCTTTCAGGAATGTACTGCCATTACAATACCTTAGGAGCCATGGCTGTCTCATCAGCAAAGCACAGAAATGTGACCTGCAATATAAACACAATCTATAAATGTATGAAAGCGTTGAGCACCAAAACACCACCGTTCTGCAAAAGCCACCTCATCAATGAAACTTACTGCACAGCACTTTTAAGAGCTTCGCTGCAGAAGGCTTGTAGCTGACCTTCACTTTTGACTTCAGCTGAAGCTTTTGTGGCGGGACCATGGCTTTTGGGGGAGGGACCATGGCTTAGTGGGAGAGCATCCGCTTGGCATGCAGAAGGTCCCAAGTTCAATCCCCGGCAGCATCTCCAGTTAAAAGATTTGGCAGAAGGTGATGTGAAAGACCTCTGCCTGAGACCCAGGAGAGTCACTGCCAGTCTGAGTAGACCACACTGGCCTCGAGGGACCGAGGGCCGTTTCAAGTGTGTATCCCTTTGTGCTGCCCTTTCCCTGCAACAGAACGAGGCTGAAGAGAGAGCACGCACAGCACCTCATTACTCCAGGGTAAGTGTGCACAGTGCTATTGGCCTTAAACCTAGGAAAGGGTCTTACCCTGAAGAAGAACACTGATCCCTCAGGCCCTACTGATCAGCACTGAATGCTGGGAACTCAACATTCCAGTCACGTTACTGGAGATCTCTGGGAGATCTGCAATGCGAAGCAAGAGCTCTAGACTAGGGTAGGCAGAGCATCGCTTGTAAAAGAAGAGTCGCTCAGCAAAAACGTAAAGGTCCCTTAAGGTTCCACCTGCCCTGCTGCCATTAAAGCACTTTCTCTTTCATGAGGAGACCAGCGCATTTATTTTTATTTATTTACTGGATTTTCAGACCGCCCTCCCCCGTACTTGGGGCTCAGGGCAGTGTACAACATTCAAATTACCAACATAATCAAGTTCAGAATAATTAAAAACAGTAAAACAGTTTCTGTAACAATTTCAGTTGGCGTCTGAATCAATTTACTTCCCCCAGGAGGGAGGGAGCTGGAAAGGAGGCCAGGCTAATGTAAAAATGCTGCTGCCCTCAACCACAGGCCTGGTGGACAGGAACAAGGTCCTGCAGGGCACGGGGGTCCTTTGGCGGAGAGCTCCACCAGGTCGGGAGCCAGGGCTGGAAAGGGTTCTTCGCTTTTTTCAAGCCACATTTTTCTCAGCTGAGCACAAGGCTCATTCGTTGTTGTATTGTTCTGTGGGCCTCTAGCACACGTCTGTATATATTTTTTCATACCAGACGAGCCAGCCACAGTAGTCTAGCCCAGAGATGACCGCTGCATGGATTACTGTGGCTAGGTCAGGGTGGGACAGGAAGGGGGTGAGTGGCCTAACCTGGCGAAGCTGGAAGAATGGCAGCCTGGCAACATGCGTGGTCTAGGCCTTCGTCGATAGGGAGGCATCCAAGAACATGCCCAGGCTCTCAAGGGTGGACTCCGGTGTTCACAGCACACCCTCCAGGGCTGGGAGTTGGCACCCCAATCCTGACCCCCCTCCCCCCAGCCACAGAACCTCAGTCCCAGCCAGCTCTGCTTCAACCAACCAACCAGCCACACCCTCCAGCCCCATGTTGAGGGGCAGTGTCTGTCTGTCCATCGACAGGCACAGCCGGGTGTCATTGGCATATTGGTGGCACCCCAGGTGAGAACTCTGCACCAGCTGGGCGAGGGGGCGCATGCGGAGGTGCCAGTCTCCCACGCTTTCCCTCACCTCCCTGACTTTGCTGTGGATAAGGAAGCGGCAGCACCACACTTTCCCACCCAGGCCTAGGGGGCTTCTTCTCTTCCTTTTTTTTCACATGGGCAAAGGAGGAAATAAAAGGAAATAAACCCATGCTTGCTTCCCTAAATGTACTACTTAAATGATCAAAGGTATGTTTTAAGCTTGGTGACAAAATTAATTACTTAATGGTCATGTTGCCGTGTCTCCATCTCCCATGCAGCATCCTCTAGTGGTGTCTCCCACTATTTTTTTTTTTTAATGTTCACTTCTGCTCCCAAACCAAATCTTTGCTGCTTTCGTTCCTATTCAAAATGCTCCACTTAGTGGGATTTCTCGAGGGATCCAGTGGCTTTGGGTTCAGTTCTGAATATGACACTGCTCTGCTGTTGCTCTTGGGAACACACACACACACACACAACCCTCTACATGCCTCATCCAAGCCAGAGATCAATCTTATAAAACTTTTTTTTTTTGCCAAAGAAACTGGGTTTCCAGAAAAAGTCTACTCCATAAGACAAAGTTCACACCCCCTTGTCCTACTGGGTGAAGAAAGTTGAGATACCACTGAGCATCAGCAGAATTCCAATGTAATTCTTCACACCTCCAAATTAGTTAATTGCCGGCAGGGTAAGACAGGGTGCCCCCTTCCCCCCCCCGGGGGCCATGACAGCTGCCCGTGTGTGTGTGTGTGTCTCCTGATGCCTGCTCCTTTCTTCCCCAAAGCACAGAGCGAGTCCTCGCTCCCCTCTGCCTCCTTGGTGCAGGAGAGGCTTCAGGAGAGCCCAGGAGGCATCACCTGTACCCCCCCCCAGCACTCACTCCGAAACCACGGCTGCCTCCGCAGGGTGATGGAGCCTCCTCACATTTTGCGACAGGCCCCTGTGTGCGTGTGCACCCTTTGCTCTGGGGGTCAGGGAAAGAGCAAGCTAGCATTCGTGTCTCGCAGCACTTTAGAGATCAACAACATTTTCCAGGGTATCAGCTTTTCACTTTGCCATACATAAATAAAAATGTAAGTCCATTCTGTACTCGCTCAGCATTTCTCTTCTGTCAACAGTTATTTTTTATTTGCCATAAAGAGCTAGACTATTAAAGAGCCCTAGAATCTGTCTGCAGGTGTCCTGGCTTTTCCCGCAACAGAAGCAGCCTCCGGCTGAGCCTCTACGCCAGCAGTCCCCAGCCTGCCTGAGCCTGTGGGGGGCACCCCTGGAATCCCGCCATGGGGTTGTGGGCACAACTGCAAAATGGCGACCTCTAATAGTAACTCCACGACTTCAGAGGCAGAAGCTCTGCTTGACAGGAGGAGGCCTTTTAAAATGAACGGATGGCACCGGAAAAGACAAGAATGCCAGGAAAAGCTGAAGGCAGCAGGAAAAGAGGAAGACCCAACAGGAGACGGAGGGACTCCGCCACGGAACCATGTGCGAGACCCCTGAGAATGCCGACTAACGAGAGGACGTTTTGGAGAACATTCATCCATAGGGTTGCCATAAATCAGAAGCAACTTGATGGCACTTCACACACACACCCACACACACACACACAGTTTAAAAATATTTTCTTCCATACACACAGCTTACCTTCAGTCACACAACACACAAAAAAGGGTCAGAACAGTGCCAAACCTCATTGAACCGGCCTTCCTCCTCCGGCTCTCCTGCGGAGACTGTGCATAATTCTTTTCGGCTTTGCAACCACACCTTCATAGGAGGCAAGGCACAGTTGCTAAAACTCTGGAAGACAGAAAATGTCGCTCGTTTTTTTGGCATGTGCTACTGTGTCCTCTTGTACTTTCCTCTACACAAGTTGTCAGTCATTAGGATACACTCTAAATCCACATACTGATGCCTTTCAGCTACAAATGCCATGGGTGGAAACTGTTCCCACCTCGGGCATGTTGTCTTCCAGATGAGAAATGCATCAGCAAATCAAGGAGTGATGGTAGAACTTTCTTACCTCAGAAATGCAAAGTAAATGAATGCTGCAGCGTGCTACTGCCAAGAGAGTGATTGCTGACATAGGAAGAAGCCAAGAGACCACAAGAGGCACCATGCACCCCGGTGGATTTGAGGAAAATGTAGCCAGTTACAAGGCAGCAGGTGACCCCAACCATCTGCTGGGTTAAGGCCAACCAATGTCAATTACATACCCTATCCTCATCCCCCAGATGGGACCTCCTTTCATTTTGAGCTCCTTGTACATGCTTCCAAAGTCAGCAGCATCCAACTTTTCTTGAGGCACAACTTGTGACCCACTTAACCTAAGACAGCCACACAGTCCATCTAATAAGCCATCTGTTCTTGCTGCCTGCTCCAGGCGGCAAAAAACAAGGAGGCTGATAAGCCCCCCCTGGCAGGGGCAGGGGTGGGCTGGATTCGGGTCACAAGCTGCCAGGCCTGCTCTAAACTAAACACAGCCCTGTCCTCAGAGGATTTTCCTTGCAGTTCTTATCTTTAATCTCCTCTGAGTAAGTTTTCAACATGCTTATGTGATGCCCAAATCTTAAATTGGGTCTTTTCAAGGATTAAAAAAAATCTAACATCGTCTCCAATATTTTTGCAAAATAAAGTGGGGGGGGGGGATGCAATGCTTCAAGGAGCATTTATTCCATCGCAAGTCACTCACAACAGCGGGATAGTCAATGTCACGTTTTCAATAGCAAGAATGTACCTTTTTCATTGCTGTTCTGGACTCCCTTTGATGACTTTGGATCCTAGTAACACCTTCCATGGCTTGTTAGTTTTTAAATGAAGGGTTCAAAAACTTCTAAATAAAATGGAAATAGTGGATATTTTTTACTGAACCAAACAACATTAAAAAACAAAACACCGTTCTAATAAAGCAGTGAAAGAGCACAAGTTAACTGACACCAGAAAGCAAAATATACATGAACCACATCCTGATCATTAATCTGCAAGGACCTTTATGATCCTCCTA